TGTAGCCACCCAGAAAGCAAGGTTCCCCATAACTGCCTTTTTGTCCTTCTTTTCAGAATCAGGATCAATTCTATAAATCACACATTTTCTGACTCCAGCAACCAATACTACGGTTTAAATTCTGCATTAAACCTGGTTGTGTGCAGATTCATGCGCAGGTTAAGAACACAGTCTTCAGCAAGACTGCCTTCACTTCAGATGCCACCCAAGTTCAGGCACTCCACTTCTGACAACTGGCTACACTTAGGGGTTTTTCCCGCAAACTTCCCTAAAGGGCCCCACCATAAGTCCACCTCATTTAGCATAAACTGTCAGGGCCCACTGTGAAAGTAATAACACTCTATCCTATCACTGGGGTGAAAATTCCGACTGGCCTTAAGCCGGATTTAAAACTTCCCAGAAAAAACCCAAGAACAAAACAAAATTTTCCCCAATTATATAACGTGGTTTTTATGTTAACAAGGGTTGACTCACAGGTCTTGCTATGTTTCAAATCTGAAACGTTTTTTCAAAAAGAAAGTTTCTTGGCCCTTGAAACATGAAACCCCTGAAGAGACACCCTTTTTTTAAGTTTTACTGGGGCACTCCCTTTGGGGAACGAGGGTGGGAGGAAATTGCTTTTGAGGCAGGAGTTTTTCCAAAATCAGCCCCTGGAAAGCCAAGAGTGAGAACCCCAATCTCAACTAAAAAAATAGAAAAATTACCCAAAGGGAAAACCGTGGGGCAGCCCTTGGTTAGTCCAAAAAAAGCTTTTTACTTCAGGAAGGCTGAAGGCAAGGAAAAAGATCCCTTTGACCCAGAAAGTTGAGGGTTTGTTTGTGGGAAGCCTACCTTTGATGCCCAATGGCACTCTAAGCCCAGGGCCAACAACAGAGAAGAAACTCATGTTTTTTCCCTTCAACAAAAAACAAACAAATGAAAACTTCCTAACCTAACTGGAATACACAGCCCCTTGATGAGTTTTTTGCCTTGGGGCCCCCATGGGGCCCAAAAGAATATTTTAATTGCCCTAAAAAAATGGTGGATTTTATGTGGGGCGGGGCCCTTGGAGACCTGGACGTCTGGGGTTGGACTGAAAAACCCCACTTAAAAAACACCTGGGGTAACTTGAGACTCAAGTGAAAGCCCTCTTTGATTGGCAAATTCAACAAGTGTTCCGTGAACACGTTGGTTTTGGCCCTGGAAAAAATTAAAAGTGGCTTCCCCATAAATCCCCCACTGGGGAAAAGAAAAACCCCTGAACTAAGCCCTTTAATTTTTCCGGGATCTTTCCTATAAGAATTTTTCGCCCTTGATGGCTTTTTTTTAGTAATGTCTCCTTTCACTGCACAAAACGTACCAGGGATACGTAAATTCGTTCGGCGGATTACAAGTGGATTCCATTTGACCCTTGAGGGGGTTGTCTTTTAAGACCACCAACCCACAGTTCTTTTTCCAACAACAAATAATGGCAAAAAAACCTAATGCTTGAACAGAAACACTTGATCAAAAAACACGCCTCTCTCCAAGCAACCTCATTTAAATAATTGCTTCAAAAGCGACAAAACTTTATCACTAATCCAGGTTACGTTTTTTTTTCTTTAACGTCCATAGTCGGCATCTTCTATATATATTAGTTGGCCAATTAATTTCTTTCTATTTATAGTAGAGACAGGGTCTTGCTCTTGCTCAGGCTGGTTTTGAACTCCTGACCTAGAGCAATCCGCCCTCCTCGGCCTCCCAGAGTGCTAGGATTACAGGCGTGGGGCATCCCGCCTGGCTGCCATTGCTTATTTTCATTTTAGGTATTATAGAGAAAAATTTATAGAGATTATATATTTACTTTTATTTCCTTTTTTGTTTTTAAGAGGTAAGGGTCTTGCTCTGTCACCCAGGCTGAAGTGCAGTGGCACGATGCAACCTAGAACTCCTTAGCTCAAGCAATTCTCCCACTTTAGCCTCTTGAGTAGCTGGGAATACAGGTGTGTGCCACCACACTCAGCTAACTTTTTATTTTTTTTAGAGACAGGGTCTTACTACATTGTCCAGGCTGGCCTCAAACTCCTGGCCTCAAGTGATTCTTGCACCTCAGCCTCCCAAAGTGCTGGGATTACGGGCATGAACCACCAAGTCCGGCTGTGCTTTCTTTCTTGTTATTTTGCATTTCCTTATGCAGCAGTGGGTCAACTCCTCAGAATTTGGATCCATAGTTTCTAAACTCTATTAGTAACTTTTACCTCTGGTAACTGATTGCAACATGACTGCTCTTCCATACCATGGGTGACTCTGTAGCCACCCAGAAATGCAAGGTTCCCCATACCCTGCCCTTTTGTCCTTTCTCTTCTCAGAATCAGGATCATTCTAGTAAATCACACATTTTCTGACTTCAGCCACAATACTACGGTTTAATTCTGGCATTAATCACCTGGGGTGTGTGCAGATTCCATGCGCAGGTTAAGAACACAGTCTTCAGCAAGACTGCCTTCACTTCAGATGCCAGCCCCAAGTTCAGGGGTCCCCAGGCCACCTCCACTTCTGACCAACTGGCTACACTTAGGGGTTCCGGCAACTTCCCTAGGGGCCCACCATAAGTCACCTCATTAGCATAAACTGTCAGGGCCCACTGTGAGTAAAAATGACACTCCTATCTATCACTGGGGAAATTCCGACTGCTTAGCGATTACCTTCCAGAAACCCAAGACAAAAACAAAATTCTTCATTATATAACACGTGGCTTATGTAGCAAAGGGTTGACTCAGCAGGTCTGCTATGTTCAAATCCTGAATGTTTCAAAGAAAGTTCTGGCCCTGACTGACCCTGAGAGACAACTTTTAAATTACTGGCACTCTGGGAGGCCGAGGTGGGAGGATTGCTTGAGGTCAGGAGTTCAAAATCAGCCTGATGGCCGGGCGCTGTGGCTCACGCCTGTAATCCTAGCTCTTGGGAGGCCGAGGTGGGCGGATTGCTCAAGGTCAGGAGTTCAAAACCAGCCTGAGCAAGAGCGAGACACCGTCTCTACTATAATACGGAAACGAAGTTATCTGGCAACTGATATTATATACTCGATACGCTCATAAAAGAAAAATTATCGGCATGTGGGCATGCCTTGTAGGTCCGAGCTACTCCGGGAGGTAGAGGACAGAAGCGATTCAATTGAGCCCCAGTGCAGTTCTGAGGTTCTGCTGTGAGCGCTACTGCAGGCTGACGCCAGCGCACTCCCTCTTAGCCTGGACAACAAAGCGAGACTCTGTGTCTCAAAAAAAAAAAAAAAAAAAAAATCAGCCTGAGCAAGAGTGAGACCCCATCTCTACTAAAAATAGAAAAATTAGCCAGGTGACGTGGCGCATGCCTGTAATCCCAGCTACTCGGGAGGCTGAGGCAGGAGAATCCCTTGAGCCCAGGAGTTTGAGGTTGCTGTGAGCTAGGCTGATGCCATGGCTCTCTAGCCCAGGCAACACAGCGAGACTCTGTCTCACAAAAAACAAACAAATGAACTTCTAAGTTACTGGAGTACACAGCCTGATGAGTTTTTGCTTGGGCCATGCCAGATATTTTATGCTAAAAATGTGATTTATGGTGGGGGCCTTTGGAGACCTGGAACGTCTGTGACTGACCCACTAAACACCCTGGGTACTGAGACTCAGTGAGCTTCCTTGATTGGCAACACTTCACATGTGTCGTGACACGTTGTTGCTGGAAAAATTAAGTGCTGTCCCCATAAATCCACTGGGAGAGAAAAACTGGAAAACTGAGCTCATTTTCCCGGGGGACTCTTCCCTATAAGATTTCGCCTTTGATGGCTTTAGTATGTCTCCTTTCACTGCAACAAACCGTACCATGGGGATAATCGATAATTGTTCGGCGATTACTAGTGAATCATTGACCTGAGGGTGTCTTAGGGACCACCAACACAGTCCTCTTTCCACACATATGGCAAAGACCTAATGCTTGACAAAACACTTGATCACACGGCCTCTCAGCAATTCTCATTATAATTGCTCAGGACAAAACCTATCAACTATCCCAGGTACGTTTTTCCCCTTTACGTCCCATAGTCGGCCATTGGCACCCTCAACTCACCCTTTGAAATACATCCCCTATTGAACCACTTGTCTCCATCTCTACTCCTAATGCTGGAGCCCAAGCCCTGGAGCCTGTTGCCTGGAGCCCCCTTTCCCTGGACCTGTTCCCACCGTCCAATCACACAGGCCTGCTTCCCAATCCCTGAAGAGCCCTCTTAGCATTGGAGTTTCCATGCCCAGACTGTCCTCTCTCAGATCTGCTCCTTCTGCAATTCTGCTCAAGTATCACCTCCTCAGAGACACATTTTCCTCCATTCTCTCTAACACACCCTATGCTCACCCCCGGCAGCGAGCCCCTGACTTCACTTTATGTCCAACTGTGCTTCTATCAGTGTTTGTCTTGTGTTACTACTGCTCTTGCAGGAGCCGGTAAAGCAGCCGGTGTGGTGAGAGCTCCACACACCCACGTGCAGTGAAGAGTGGACAGTGTCCTGTGAGTGCAGGAGGCAGGACTGGCTCCCTCATCTCTGTCATCCGGTGATGGAAACTGAGGCTCAAGAAAGAGGTTTGACTTGCCCTGGTCACAGAGGGAGTGTCAGGGTCAGGGCTTAAACCCTGCTCTGGTGCTCTGGTCTGACCCTCTCAAGCCCAGGCTGGGGACTCAGGCACAAAGTTTGCCAGAACAATCCTGAGCACAACCCCGCACAGTTGAAGGGGCAGCTTGGAGGAAGAGAAGGCGGGGCTGGGCTCTGTGCAGCAGGCTCCTGGACCACGCATGGGCCTCAGGCAGCTCCATCTGCCCCAGGACTGGAGGTCTAGTGCCCAGGACAGAGCCTGCTACACAGGAAACCTAATTTTCTTCTCTTCCCTGCTTTTTCCTTTCCTTTCCTTCCCTTCCCCCTCTCTCCTAAGGGCTGACTCCCAGAGCTTGAGATCTCACCCCAGCCTTCCAGACCCCAGCATTCTCCCCAGCCCCAGCTGCCTTCCGCACACGCCTACCTCTCACAGGGTGGGGGTAGGGCTTCCTGGGAGCCCAGCCCCAGCAGAAGCAGCAGGCACAGCTCCCAGGTCCTCCCAGGCATGGTGGCTTGTGACTATGGCTGAATGAGCAAGCCCAGGCACCTCTGCTCGCTGGGCACAGCCTGGCCTGCCCATCCAAGTCAGCCAAAGTCCAAGCTTGGGGTGTGGCCAGCTGAGGCGATGCGTGCTCGGTCTGCACATGGCCTGCTTGCCCCTCCTGCTCTCGGGGTACAGTGGTCACACTCCGCCCTTCTACTTTTTTTTTTTTTTTTGCCTTTTCTGTTTCTCAGTCTCAGCTGATGCTGCCAGCTCAGACACTTCCCTCAGAGTCATCGGGGCAGGGTTGGAGGAGTGCACAGCTGAGGAGCTAGGGACATGGTTAAGGCCACACATCTGTGACCTAGTTGCCACTTCCTTGGGTGGCCCCAAGACCTCCAGGCTTGGAGGTCATCATTTCCTTTAACATTTCAAACAGAATGGCTCTATATTCTGATGGCGGGAAACTCAGGGACCCTCACCATGGTCTACGAGAGATGGTGTGGGAGCACGACACAGCATAACCCTCCTGTGGGAGGAAGGAGGAGGAGTCAGGAAGACCCATCGTAAGTGGTGACATTTGTAATGGGTCTGGAAGATTGTTTAGAAGTTTGCCAAGGGAATGGGCTGGAGACCATTCCAACATATGCAGAGCATATTCAGGGAACGATGAGAAGCTCAGCCTAGCTAGATGGAGTTTGGCGTCTGTGCAGGGAAGGGTTGTGAGATGCAGCTGGAGGAATGTGTTGGCACCAGTCTATAAATGGTGCCTTTGCCAAGCCAAGGAGGCAGCTGTTTCCCCAAAGCAAAACCAGCAGGGAAGCTTGTGAGCTGTAGTAGCAGGATTGGATTTGCTTTAGGAAGCTCATCCCTTCAAAATTCTGGAAGATGAGTTGAAGGGGCAGAGGGTGGGGCAAGGCACAGTAGGAGACTATTAATAGCAACAATGCGGGCCTGGAGCAACCCAGAGGAGGTGGGCAGAGGAGGAGCACATGGGGAGGAGCTTACTTCCAGCCAGCACCATTGAGTTCAGTGATTAGTGTGACCTCTCCTGTAGGACTCGGGCTTGCTGGTAAGGATGTCAGTTGTAGCAGCTGAGCAGCATTTACCACTGTTAAAAGAAAAATTTTAGACAAATTAAATGTAGCAGTTTATTTGAGCAAAGAAACAATTCATGACTTGGGCAGCACTCTGCGCCAGTGAAGGTTCAGAGAGCTCCACCCAGCAAGGTGGGCAGACAGTATTTATAGAGAGAAAAAGGAAGTTACCTACAGCAACAGCCCGATTGGTTACAGCTCAGCATTTGCCTTATTTGGGCATGTCTGAGCAGTTTGCAGCCTGTGATTGGCTGAAAGCTCAGCTGCCATGATTGGCTGAGACTCTTGGCTGAGAGTCAGCTATTTGCTACAAAGATATACTCTGAAGTTAGGTTACATTTTGTTTACATATTAAGTTAGGTTACAGTTTGCTACATTTGGAGGCAGCTTTAGGTCAAATTTAATTTAATTTTACAACACAGACAAGGTGGCCCAGGCCCTGTGTTTTCTCTATATGGTGCTCCTGCCCCTCCCCACTGAATGGTCACCTCCATGCTGATAGTTTGTCTTTTCCTTCTTGCCACCCATGAACTCCAGATACTACATGCTTCCTTCCCGCCTCTTCATATATATATGTATATATATATTGGTTTTGTAAAAAATTTTTTTATTTTTTTATTTTTTATTTTTCCATCTATGATTGTAAATTAATGGCAGAAAAAGTTTTGTAAAAATTGAGGTTAAATATATATAACAAGATTTGGCATTATAACCATTTTTAAGTGTACAATTCAACTTATATTACATTCATAATATTGTGCAACCACTTTCATTCCTCAGATAAATCTCACTTGGTTATGATGTATAATCCTTTTAATAAACTGTCGGATTTGGTTTGCTGATATTTTGTTGAGGAATTTGGCATCTATATGCATAGAGAGTATTGGACTGTGATTTTCTTTTCTTGTGATATCTTTATCTGGCTTTGATATATGAGTAATGCCAGCTTCACAGAATGAGTTAGGAAATATGAATATTCCACCCCTCTTCTATTTTTGAAAGAGTTCAAAAAAGATTGGTGTTTCAAATGCAGTGGCTTCAAAAAAAAAAAGAAAAGAAAAGAAAAGAAAAAGATTGGTGTTAATTCTTCTTTAAATGTTTTGTAGAACTTACCAATAAAACCATCTGGCCCTGGACCTTATTAGTAGGGTTCTCCAGAGGAACAGAAACAACAGGAGGTGTGTGCATGTGTGTGCATGTGTGTGCATATATATAGTGTGGAGGTTAGCAAGTCCCAAAGCTCCAGGGTGGGCTGGCAGGCTAGAGACCCAGAGAAGAGCTGCCGTTCAATTCTGAAGGCAGCATGATGTCAAAATTCCCTCTTCTTCTGGGGAGGTCAGTCTTTTTCAGATTAAAGCCTTCAACTGACTAGATGAGGCCCATTCACATTTTAGAGGGGAATCTGGTTTACTCAAAGTCTACTGATTTAAATGTTAATTTTATCTAAGAATACCTTCACAGAAACATGTAGAATAATGTTTGACTAGCTGTCTGGGCACCTTTGCATAGCTATGTTGGCACATAAAATTAAGCATCTCATGGACTTTTCTTTGTTGTGAGGTTCTTTTTATTATAATCTCTTTATTTCTACTGGTCTAGTGAGACTTTTTATTTCCTCTTGCATCAGTTTAGGTAATTTGTGTGTTTCTACGAATTTGTCTATTTTATCTAGGTTAACTAATTTGTTGGCATACAATTGTTTATAGTATCCTATTTTTATTTTTGTAAGGTCAATAGTAATACTGCCATGTTAATTTCTGATTTTAGTTATTCCTGTCTTCTCTCTCTTTTTTCTTTTGGGTCTAGCTGAAGATTTGTCCATTTTGTTGACCTTTTCAAAGGACACACTTTTGGTTTCATTGATTCTCTCTACCGATTTTCTATCTTCTAAATATCTTTGCTCTAATATTTATTGTTTCCTTCTGATAACTTTGAGTTTAGTTTGCATTTCTTTTTTCTTTTCTTTTCTTTTTTCTTTCTTTTTTTTTTTTTTTTTGTGAGACCGGGTTCTGTTCTGTTGCCTGGGCTGGAGTGCAGTGGCATCATCATAGCTCACTGCAACTTCAAACTCCTGTGCTTAAGGGATCCTCCTGTCTCAGCCTCCTGAGTAGCTGGGACTACAGGCTCATACCACCACACCTCGCTAATTTTTTCTGTTTTTAGCAAGATGCTAGGCCTGGTCTGGAACTGCTGAGCTCAAGTAATCTTCCCACCTCGGCCTCCCAGAATGCTATTAATAGAATTACAGGTGTGGGCCACTGCACCTGGCCTCTCTTTATCTGTGAATTTCTGCAGTTTGGATATGATATGCCTAAGTGCAGATTTTTGGGGCACCTATCTTTCTTGGTGTTCTCTGAGCTGCCCCGATCTGTGGTTTGGTGTCTGATATTAATTTTGGAAAAGTCTCAGTTATTATTTTTTTCAAATATTTCTTCTCTCTTCTGTATTCCTATTAAAGTTTATGTTACATATATTGCCGTTAGCCCACAGTTCTTGGATTTTCTGCTCTGTTTCAAGGTGTTTTCTCTTTGCTTTTGAGTTTTGAAGGTTTCTAGTGACATATCAAGCTTCCAGATTCTTTCCTCAGCCATTTCCAGTCTACTAAAGAGCCCATCAAAGGCATTTTTCCCTTCTGTTACAGGGGGGTTTTTTATTTGTTTTATTTCTTCTTTCTTAGAATTTTTTTTGAGACAGAGTCTTGCTCTGTTGCCCTGAGTAGAGTGCTGTGGCGTCAGCCTAGCTCACAGCAACCTCAAACTCCTGGGCTCAAGTGATCCTCCTGCCTCAGCCTCCTGAACAGCTGGGACTACAGGCACACGTCATGACACCCGGATAATTTTTTATTTTTAGTAGAGACAGGCTCTCACTCTTGTTCAGGGTGGTCTCAAACTCCTGGGCTCAAGCAATCCTCCTCCCCTCCCCATCTCGGCCTCCCAGAGTGCTAGGATTACAGGCGTGAGCTAAGGCATCCAGCCTGGCCTATTTCTCTGCGGAGTGACTGTGGGGGTTATTTCAGTGCTCCAGTTCCCTCCCCGAGTGTTAAGCTCCTGATGTCACTCCTTAGGGAGACACCAGCTTTGAGTATACTCATGTCACTCTGAGGTGACAGTAATCTTGACAATCCCTTCCACTTTCTTTGAGCTCCTATAGCTGTTAAGCTCCACTAATTGCCAGCTGATTATACAATTGTTTCAACATTGCCTTGAGGCATAAATTGATCCAGAGACCAATCCATTCAAATTGGAATTCCTTTGAAGGAATGGTTATGGTGGCAGACTCAGGTACTTGACCTGGCCCCACCTCCCCTACCCTCATTCCTGGCCCTGGGCCCTTGGTGCAGGCTGGGGGGTTTTCAGTATTTGTAAGCATTTCAGCAGAACAATAAAGCCTTTGGACTACCTAACTGTGTGGAAGGCCAGGCGGTATGAGCTGGACCTGGGGCGCTGGGGGTTGTAAGGCCAGGTCTCCCCTCACTGCAGGATTTCCACCCTATTCAAGGTTCCAGGAGGGACCTGCCCCACTCCACTCTGAACAGAGGCTGGCCCGGAGAAGGCAGGCAGTGGCGCAGAGGTTTAATGGGGCCGGAGCTGGGGCCACGTGTGGGGAGGGCAGACAGGGTGGTGGGGCTGTCACCGTGGCAGCAGGCTGAGCAGGAAGTTTAGCAGAAGGGCAGCCAGCAGGCAGTGGGGCTCCAGGAAAGCCAGCTGGGCTCCCGAGGTCAGGCGGTCACCATAGCGGTCCAGGAGCATCAGGACCACTCCATTGGTCCAGCCAAACCCCTCCTGGAGACAGGCACGGCCAGTGGGGCCCGGTCCCTGGGAGGCCCCAAGCCCTTTGGGGATGTGGGATCTCTACCCAGGGGCTCTGGTCCTGCCTAGCCCCAGGGGTACGAGGGAGCACCCCTCAGCGCCTCCCATGGGCCCACATACAGGCCAGCACACTGAGGCCTGGGGGGCCCAGGTCCGTCTTGGGGGACAGCAGAGCCTAGGGGTTCCCTGTAAGCTGTTAGCCAGCTCACCGTGGCCTGCTCACCTGAACTTCATACTCCCCTCCACCACCGGGCTGTCCACCATTGCTGATGTCATACTGGGGACAAGAGGACAGGCTGTAGGTCAGGCACTGCCTGCAACCCCATGACCCCAACCCCAAGGCAACAATGGGAGCCCCTGGGGAGAAGCCACTCTGCTCTGCAGCTTGGCCCCTGCAGTGCCCAGGGACGGCCACTGGGCGCCGCCACTGTCCCTGCTGAGCTGGCCCTGGCCTGGGCTTGCAGAGCCTGACCCCCCCCACCCCACCCCAACTCCCCAAGGGGAGGGGGCCCTGGTGGGACGCTGGGACGGCTCAGGGCAGCTCACCTTCTCATACATGGCTGACTCCTGGGAGTAGACATCAAAGTTGGTTCGGATCCAATTTTGGGCCAGCTGGAAAGCCACTTCCTGGGCTCGAGGTGAAGGCGACTTGGCCAGGCCTAGACCCCACCCCAGGCAGCACCCTGACTCTCCAGAGCCCCCGTCCCAGGGAGAGCAGAGGCCGGGCCTCACTCTCCCCAAGGGGAAAGGGGCCTGGGCCCAGGACCTCCTCCTGGAACCACGGGCCAGGCCACCCTTCATCTAGGGCTGGGGTTTGGAGGGGGAACAGAGGGCTGATTCCACTGGCCGGGCGGGCTGGACACAAAGGTTTGCTGAGTGGGGGCCGGGAGAGCAGAGTGGGAGGAAGGACAGGGGCCCCGGGTCCTTTGTTCTCACGTGCCCAGGCCCAGGGAGGCCGACCCTCTACATGCTGGGGGAGGCCCTGGGCTGCGCCATGCCTGCCTCCCTACCTCTGATGACCACGTCCTGCAGGGGGGCCCAGGCGTTGGGGAAGTCCCACTGCTGGCCTGTCTTCTGGAGAGAGGTTGGGATCCCATGCTGGTAGGTCAGGATGTGGCTGTCCTAGAAGGTTCCAGACACTGTGACTGTGGGTGGGGGCAGGATGGGGAGCCAGGATGCTGGGCCCTGTGGGAAGCCAGCTGTCCTCTTCCTGGCCTTTGTCTCCTTGGCTCACAGCTTCCCCCTGGTGGCTCCAGCGGGACCCGCAGCTAAGAGGAGGGCACAGCAGGAGGGAGTGGCTGGCCCCTGCCAGGTCCTGCTCAGAGTCAGGGGGGCCAGTCCTGTCCCAGTGGGACAGACACCTGCTGTGTCCTCACCTCCAGGTATTTCAGGGCCTTGTCTGCGACGCCAGAGTCAGAGAAGCAGCCGGCCCAGAGCGGAGTGAGGTTGGATGGGTAAAACTCTTTGTTCTTCTTCCCAGTGTCAAGGTCGTAGTCGAACCAGGCCCCACTCTCCTCATCCCACAGGACGGCGCTCAGGGTGGCCAAGCGCTGTTCCCGCAAGGTTCTGTACTTCTCGGCCTGGGCGTCATTCCCTGGGGCAGTGCTGCTTTAGGCCGAGCAGCCAGATCCTGTCACTGCTACCCCTGTTTGTCTTCTACTATTACTGTTCTCGCTAGAGCTGGAAAAGCAGCCGGTGTGGCGAGAGCTCCACACACCCATGTGCAGTGAAGAGTGGACAGTGTCCTGTGAGTGCAGGAGGCAGGACTGGCTCACTCATCTCTGTCAACTGGTGATGGAAACTGAGGCTCAGGAAAGAGGCTGGACTCTGTCCAGGAGGCTCCTGGACCATGCATGGCCAGCCTCAGGCAGCTCGGTCTGCCCCAGCACTGGCGGCCCGGTGCCTGTCACAGGGCCACTATGCAAGGAGAGGGAGCCCCAGGCCCCTTCAGGCCAAGCCTTTCAGCGTACAGAGACCCACACCGGCTGCAGGGGGATTCGCCCAGTCAGTGGGTTGGTGGTGGAGGCAGGTGGCAGTGTGTCCCCACTCTCCCGGCCTTTCAGGCCTACTCTGGGCGTCCCTGGGCAGGAGAGACCCCAGAGGGCAAAGGGGGCAGCGGTCTGCGGTGAGGGGAGAAGTAGGAGAGCGCTCTCTGGACAAGAGGAGTGAAGGAGCCGGAGGGGGAGCACACAGAGGCGGGCAGAGCGCCGTGGGGCTTGGCCACGGCGTGGTCTCTGCATGGCTGCCCCCTCTTCCCAGGGCAGGCCTGCCCCGGGCCAAGGCCCAGAGCACGAGGAGGCAGGCTCAGCTCCCCTCCGCTACTCCTCTGCTCAAACCACAGCCACCTGTACATCAAAAACACCTCTTTGGTTTTGTATTTTTTTTTTTTTAACCCTCAGCTGCCTGAAAGATGTGCCTGGCTGGGGCTGGGGCTGAGTCACCAGGGGAAGCTTGCACACACGGGGGAGGACTCCTGAGCACTCACTTTCAGACTTTGCACGTTTCTGCATTTCTGCACAGGGCAGCTGTTTTTGCGGAAAGGGTGTGGAGGGCGCATGTGGGCCCGGTACCAGCCCGTGCGGCTGCCTGGGCGGCCTCGTCCCCGCCCCACCCCCCAGGCTGCGCGGCCTCTGGTGCTCACCTCAACCACTGTGGCTTCCTCCCTCCCCGTGGGAACGGAGCATGGGGTCAGGGGCACCCACCATGCCCAGACAATGGGCATCTTCCGGCCAGGTCAAGAGTGCCACTGCCACAGCCCAACGTCATCAGCAAATCCATATGCAGCCGGGTGACCCCAACTCCAGTCACCCTCCCTTTCTCCCACACAGACCCTGTAAACCGCGAGATTCTCAGTGTTGTTACATTTCCAAGAGAGACGATGTTAAATCAGAACTGAGTCCCGGGAGACCCGGATTGAAGGCTTGACTGTGCCACCACAGGCTGTGCGCCCCTGGGCAAGTCCCTCTGCCATTCTAGGTCATTTGTGTATAAGTTGAAGGCTTTGCTCTTCAGTGGTCCCCAACCTTTTTGGCACCAGCGACTGGTTTCATGGAAGACGTTTCCACAGATCGGGGTAGGGTGAGGTGGGGTGTTGTGGGTTGGGGGAGGGTGGTGCGGGGCTTAGGTGGTGACAGGTGGCCCGTTTCCTAACAGGCCACCGAGGGCACCCGGCCACGGCCTGGGGGCTGGGGACTGCAGCAGGTCACTGGTTGCAAACTCAGATTCTGATAAGAGAAATGTGCAAAACACGTTGGGGATAAGGGAGCCAACAGTGCAAGAGGGATGATGAGAGTCTCGGGGCTGACGGTTGTGCAACCAGGGCCCCTGCTGCAGAGGTGGCTGCAATAGGGCACGGGGCTCCTTACTTGCTACAGCTCCTGACTCATCAAAGGAAGGAGGAAATCCATATTTCAACGTGTAATCTCCCAATTTTTAAATGTCCCAACCTCTCAAACTCTGATTGTCACTGTGAGAGTGATTCCTGTGTGTGCGCGCACAGTTAGGAGGGGATCTGACCTCCAGGAGCGGCTTTGTGAGCTGGGCCTCGTCCCCCCACCCGGCTTGGGGCTCTACCCTTGAACGCATCCTCAGCCTAGAATATTGACTCAATCACTTGGTGTCCCTTTATTTTTTATTTATTTATTTATTTTAAGACAGAGTCTCTCACTCTGTTGCCCGGGCTAGAGTGCTGTGGCATCAGTCTAGCTCACAGCAACCTCAAACTCCTGAGCTCAAGCGATCCTCCTGCCTCAGCCTCCCGAGTAGCTGGGACTATAGGCGTGCGCCACCACACCTGGCTAATTTTTTCTATTTTTAGTAGATACAAGGTCTTGCTCTTGTTGCGGCTGGTCTTGAACTCCTGGCCTCAAGCCATCCTCCTGCCTCGGCCTCCCAGAGTGCTAGGATTACAGGCGTGAGCCACGGCACCTGGCCTCAGTGCCCTTTTTAAATTGATACACCCTGTCTATATTGATATCCATAATATGTAGAGACCTCTTGCAAATCCAAAAGAAAAAATCATACTGCCGTGCTTGGAAGAAATCTACAGAAAAGAATGCGAGTGGTCGATGAGCCTAATGTTCTTTTTATTCTTCTCTGGACTTGGACCTGGGCCACCCTCAGGGGTGCCTGTGCCCTTGTCCTCCCGGTGTCCCCACTCATGTCTCCCCACTCAGCCCTCTGCCCAGTCCTTCTTAACACATTTGCAAGCAGTTACATCATTGGAGGGAAAAACAGAACACTTTAAAGTATTTGTTTAGGTTTGATTTCGAGGTGAAGCTGTAGGCTGCTGGGGAAGGGCTGAGAAGGAGACTGGAGGGGACGCAGGCCAGCCTTTCTTAGTCCTCAGGAACTCGGCTCTGACCATTTCAGCCTGCTCAGAAAGGCTCTGGGCCTTGCTTGGCCCACCATCCCCAGAAAGCAGCTTAGGGGAGGGTGGTGTCTTATTGTCCCCTACTCCAAAGTATTTCTTTGATGAAGAGCTACTAATTTCCTTCTCAACGTCTATTCTCAGGGTAGCAGTGTGACCGGCTTGAAGAAAAACTTGATTTTCCAGGCTCCCCTGCAGTTCAGGGTGGCCAGGGCCCCAGTTCAGGCAGATGAGAAGTAAGTGGGAGTCACTGGGAAAGGGTCCTGGGAAATTTCCTTAAAAGGGGAGAGAGACTCTGCTGGCTTTGCTTTGTGCTCTCTGCCCTTCACCTTTCTTCCTGCCTTGAGCACTGATGAAAGGCTCGGTGCTGCAGTAGCCTCGTTGCATCCACGAGGCAATGCACTGAGCCTCGTGCTTCAGATGGCCGTGTGGGCAGGTGGAAAGAGACTGGGTTCTGGATGGCGCCTTCGAGTCACCACAGCCCTAGACTTCTGTTATAGCAAATAAACAGACAGATAACCCTTAGTTGTTCAAGCCACTGTTTTTCAGATTTCTGCCACTTTATGTCTGGTGGGAATCTCTAGCTTTCTTCCCGAGGGGACTTTGTCAGGACATTTTCTGTCGTTCCTATTATATTTCCAGCCAGGTTCGCATGTCCCAGTAATACTGTAGTGCTCCTGCCTGCCTGGCCCAGCTTCAGCTCCGCTCTGGGTGTGAGGGGCAGGCCTCGCCACGGGAAGAGGATATCCATTAACCTATAGCCAGCAAAGGACTGACATCCGTACATGCACATATCCATACGTCAGCTGATACTGAGCATATGCACCAGCCCCCTTCCACGCCCTTGCCTTGTTGGGGTGGAAACCAGTTCCTGATTCCCAGACGTCCCATCGGTGCTCTCGTGCTGGAACCCTGAGGCGGGTGGTGAGGCCGGGACGGCAAGGCCAGGGTGGCAGGCGGCTGGGGTGTTGGCAAGGCTCTATGCCACGACCCAATTGCAAAGGATCTGTTTTACGGCAATCCGTTAAACTGCCATAGGTGTTTTATGTACCTGCCTGTGTTGTGCTATAGCAGATAATAAAATCATTTGAGGCCAGGCGCGGTGGCTCACGCCTGTAATCCTAGCTCTCTGGGAGACCGAGGCGGGCGGATTGCTCGAGGTCAGGAGTTCAAAACCAGCCTAAGCAAGAACGAGGCCCCGTTTCTACTAAAAATAGAAAGAAATTAATTGGCCAACTAATATATATAGAAAAAATTAGCCGGGCATGGTGGCGCATGCCTGTAGTCCCAGCTACTCGGGAGGCTGAGGCAGGAGGATTGCTTGAGCCCAGGAGTTTGAGGTTGCTGTGAGC